ACTAATGAGACAGCCAGTGAACAAGGAAGTCTAAATGCAGAATGAGAAAGGCAAGCATGCAAGCCCCTATGGCAGGGATTCAACTGTGATTTGTTTTGAAGCATTTTGTTTATTTTGAAAACGAGCAAGGGGAAGACACATAAATACAAGAGAAAAAGAAGCAAATATAATGATATATAAGAAGAGTACTTGAGGAAAGAGCCAGAAAACAATTCCAGTGAGCAAACGATCACAGGAAAAAAAAAATTACAAGTACTTAAGGCAGCCAAGATCACAATCAGATCACCTAATAAAAGCCAGCTTTTCTTTAAATGGAAAACAATGTGCATTGTTTGTCCTTGAAATGCGACATGCACTGCTTTTAAAAGAATGCCTAAGCACTCCACCGCAACAGCCCATATCTGACAGAGCCCTGTCACCCTTCTGCCCAGAGGTCATTGTTCCTACACAATATTGGGAGGCTTGACTGAAGAGATGTTGCCAAACATAGCAGTCACTGGTTATAGATAAGGCCCGAAAACAGACCTAAGCAGGAAAACGCAGAATTTGAATGAAGCTGGGGCCCACCTACTCAGTAATGAGATAATTGCCCAAAGCATGTCCTTCTATAATCTCCAACGCAACAACTCTTCTCCTGCCCTCCCTCTCTCAGTGCTGCCTCAAAATTTGCACATAATCTCAGTCACTCTTAAAGACGCCGATTCAGAAGGCAGACAGCCACTTCCCTAATGTCATGAAAATAGATTCAATTTTACATACATCAGGGTGATTTTAGAAGCAATTTCTACATCTCCAGTGTAAGCATTACTTACGTTTTTTTTTTTCCCCCTTCAAATCTCATCCCAATGGTTCCACAGGGCATTTTAAAAGTTACCTGATGCATTTTAGGGCATTCAAAAAAAAAAAAAAAATCCCCAGAGTGTGTTTGTAGTTGCAGCCTGAAGATGGTTAGAAAAAAATTCTAAAATATTCCGTGACTCAAACAAATGCAAGATTTCATAATAATTCAATAAACCAGTCAATTGAAATTATTTTCTGCCCTTTAAAAATGAATATAATTAAAATAAATACATTCATATATATATATATATATATATATATATATATATATATATATATATACAGGAGTGCATAGGCACATTATTGTTCTATGTATGTATGGTTTTATGGATGCATGTGTGTACAAGTGTAAAATATGGACACCGCACACGTCCAGTTGTTTGGGAAGACTATCCTTGCCCTTTGAAATGTCTCCTCAGATCCCACTGAATCTTCTTCCCCTTTCGTTCTCATTTGCGAAGAATCCACTTCAGTCTCCAGCACTTTAATCTTGAGAGTCTAACATTTCAGTCACAGTGAAAACAGTGATGATATTTTTTTGACATCCAAAAATATCAGTGTGATCCAGCTTGCTTTCCCATATGACTAGCAAGCTTGAGACTAAATACCTGCAACTTCAGGGTCACAGTGATTGTCAAACTTCTTTTGGCATCTGAGGTCTCCCCACAGCACTTCTCCTAACAGGATAAAAAGTGTGTACCCGAGGCTATGTTGTACAGGAGAGGTTCGGGATGGATAAGTAAAACTAGGGTCATTTTCAAGGCTACACTTTCGATGCTCAAAGCAGAAGAGCTAGAGACAAATCAGTGCGACTCAGGACCAACCTCTCTTCAAGGACACACCAAGCCCATTTCCTAGCCAAAGCCTGTGTCTCTCCAGTTCTGTGTCTGCCTTCCCAACCTGAATCCAGGTACTTTGCCCAGATTAGGACAGGAAAGGGCTATGTGCAGGGTTAAACAAACCACAGATTGTCTCTTATCTATAAGAAGAAGCAAAAAATCAAATATTTGTTCATATTTGTCAGTATATTTTTATAGTTTTGTCTTAAAATCAATCATCCAACCTTTAGTAGTATTCAAACTTAGCATCATCAATAGAGGTAAAGTGATATCATGTGCTTATTGGTAAAATTTAGAGCAGTAAACAATAGTAATACATAGTGTATCTTTTTTCCAAAATGATTAACGTAAATGAAATATGATGGAAAAATCAGACAGCTCTGTTCTTATAGATCACTCTGTAGAACAATTGTCCTAGACTTTGGAAAAATGTCAGCTTTCTGAAAAAAAAAAAAAAAAAGGTTAGGGGACTATAGGAAAGCCAACAGAGACAACAAACCAAATGGAATGTGCGTGCATTGGCTAGATCCCCATTTACAGCAAAGCAGCCAGAATATTCTGGGGACACAGGAGAACTTTAAATCATTGGACCAATGATACTTAGAGAAGACTAATCCTATTGTGAGGCGTTGAAGAGCAGTTTTACATCATAGGAACCGCATACCCAAATCTCTAAAGGTGGAATGTCCCGAAAACTTTAACTTGACTCCTAAGTAGCTCAGAAAATTGTGTTTGGTGAGAGAAAGTGCAACCAATATTGAAAAACTGTTAACATCTGGTAACATTAACAACAGGTAAAGGATAGGAGTATTCCTTTTTCTCACCCTTTTTCTTTTTGGGAGAGGGTAGGTTTAAACTAATCTTTCCCAAAGGCGGCACCTTTTTTTTTTATAAGTATTTTTTTAATTAATTACAGTTAATTAACTTTGTATTCCCCTGTACCTCCCTCCTCCACTCCCAATCCCACCCTCCCTCTTCCCCACCCATGTCTCTCTCCCAGTCCACTGAAAAGGGAGGTCCTCCTCCCCTTCCCTCTGGCCCTAGTCTGTCAGGTCTCATCAGGAGTGGCTGCATTGTCTTCCTCTGTGGCCATCAGGGAGAGGTGATCAAAGAGCAGGCTAATCAGTTCCTGTTAGAGACAGTCCCTGTTCCCATCACTATGGAGATACTGAACTGCCATAGGCTACCTCTGTGCAGGGGTTCCAGGCCATCTCTATGAGTGGTCCTTGGCTGGAGTATGAGTTTCAGAAAATACCCCTGTGCCCAGAATTTTAGGATCTGTTGCTGTCCTTGTGGCGCTCCTGTCCTCTCCAGGTCTTACTATCTCCCACTTCTTTCATAAGATTCCCTGCACTCTGCCCAAAGTTTGGCTATGAGTCTCAACATCTTCCTCGATACCCTGCAGGGTAGAGCCTTTCAGAGGTCCTTTGTGGTAGGCTCCTGTCCTGTTCTCTGTTTTCTCTCTCCTCTGATGTCCATCCTCTTTGCCTTTCTGAATGGGGATTGAGCATCTTAGCCAGAGTCCTCCTTTCTGATTAGCTTCCTTAGGTGTACAGATTTCAGTATCCACGTGTGAGTGAGTATATACCTTGTGTGTCTTAAATTGTGGTACACAATATTCCATCTACACAATGGAATATTACTCAGTGATAAAAAAAAAAAAACAAGAAAATCATAAAATTTGAAGGTAACTAACTGGTGGGAACTAGAAAAGATCATCCTGAGTGAGGTATCCGAGAAGCAGAAAGACAGAACTCTTACATTTGAAAATAGTAATTGCTTTCCTCACAGTCCTGTGTTCTTCACCAGGGCATCTGTAAGGGCCATTTGGAAGGTGTTAGGAAATCTACAGCCCTCAGTCTATGTCCCATCTCTTATCAACAAGGAAATTTTGTTTGGAAAAACCTTCTAAGTTTTTTGCTGCACTCCAGCCTAGGAATCTTGGATCATGAGAAATGATTTATGGAACTCTGGGAAGCTGACACAAACATATTTTATCTACAAAGTAGGATCAGCAATGCTAAGTGTCCCATATGATTATGGTGGAAATTAAACAAGAGTGCCTGCATCATAGACAGTGGATATATATATATCTCCTTTGTTCTTTTGTTATCTCATCACTCCACATCCCCCAGACAGACCAGATCTAAAGTGATCTTTACAAAACATGGTTTCTTCTGTTTATAATGCAAGTGATAATAGTGAAAATGTATTATCTTATTACTAAATCCAGGAAAGAACTAGCTTATAGCGTGGTTGAAAGAATAGAACAATGGCAGCTTTCTCAAGCTAGGTCATAAAACAAGGCTTATAACTACCTAGCCATGGAGTTCTTTGGATGAGTCAACCATGGAATCTAAACTGCTTATATTAGTCAAGAATGCCTTAGTAGTGCTGCATGAAGATGAAGACAGTTTTGACCTAATAGAACTATTTAGGGTTTGGGAGGCACCACTTCCAGTATGGACTTGGGATTTTAGAGATTGTTTCTTTAAACCTCAGTTCCTTAAATATTAGGGATAGAGACAGAAACATTCCATGATTCATCTACCTTATGCAGAAAATGTGAAATAGTTTTGAAAATTCTCAGGCACTAAGTTCAGTAAAGTATGCTTCTTCTTCTTCTTCTTCTTCTTCTTTTTTTTTTTTTTTTTTTTTATTGGACTTGAAGGTCACATCCTCCTCCTTTTCTTCCTCCTCCTTCTTTGTAACTATTATTATTTTTGACTACTTGTCTCTCTTTTTAGGATGACTTATTCCCAGTCCATCTGCCTAGGCATAGGTTCTGGCTGGTTTATTTTTGTATGTGCGGTTTACAGATATGTGCATGTTCACATGTATTTGTGTGTGTGTACATGTGTATGCACGTGAACATCAGCAGTTAATATTGTGTAAATACTTCAATCACTTCCTAGCTTATTTTTGTTTCAAAGCTTTTACTTTGAGTAAGTTTAAAGTATACAAGTTAGAGCCGTAACTATGTAAAAGGACACTATTGCACAGAAATTCACAGTACAGAGTCATGTTCTGGGTAAAAAAAACCCACAGTAATCTTTTCTCTTGGTAACCGGTTTAACACATAATTTAATGAACAAAAGCTAAATCAGTAATATATTAGCATTATATAGAAACTGTAGAATGTCATTAAGACTATCACCCCCACATCTGTCACCAATGACTCAGCTGTTTTTTTGGCTCCCTGCCCCACTTCACCTACCCTAGACAGGATTTTACTGTGGCCCAGGCAGGCCTCAAACTGTCAATTTTCTTGCCTCAGCCTCCCAAGTGCTGCAATTACAGAGCTGGGTACCATATCCAGACAGATGTTTCTTTGTAATGAATTGACCATTACATTTTTAAATTTCTGAGATGGCCAACAGACCATAGAAAGATATTTATTTAGGCACCTTCTTGAAACCAACCGCTTCAACAAACTGCTGGCCTTGATTCAGCGTCAGTCCTATGTTACTTTTTGAGATGGCTCTCTCACTGGACTTGGAGTTCATGGATTAGGCTAGACTGGCTGTCTAGCAAGCCCTAGGGAATCCACCTGTCTCCTCCCCCCCCCCCCCAGTGATGAGCTTATTGGTACATGCCACCCAGACTAACGTTTTCTTTGTGTGCCGGGGATCCAAACTCATGCCCATGTGGCATGTTTATTAGCTGAGCCACTTTAGTCCCATATTCTTAAATCCTCATTTTATATCAGGTAGGGCCACCCTAAAGCTTTGCCAGGGAGAAGACCCTTCATCTCTGATATCCCAAGGAAGCAATCAGATTTTATGGTTTACTGGACTTGGTCATCATGAGGGATCCCCAGGGGAAGCACCAGCACCAAAATTGACCACCGATACGCCATTCACCTTGGTTGGCTTGACTTACTGAATCCATTAACATCCTGAGAGCTGGAGGAGAAGCCTTCATCATTGCGATTGGTGCTGAGCTTGGTGGCGGGCTTGTCAGCAGAGGCCACAGGTCCCATCTCCCTCTGGGCTCCACTCTGTGTCTCCTTCTGCTTCTTAGCCAGCTTCCTTTGGGACATGTGCAAGGGAAAAATCACAGTTAGATGGGTCTAGTTGCATTAGAAGACTAAGGCAGATTGATCTCTTCCCTTATCCTTCATTCTTAACACCATATTAGTTCATTCAACAAAAGCAGAAGCAAGGCGGGCACTTTAATGTCAGGGTCAAATAAACACAAACCTTCCTGAAACTGGAAATCATTTTAATTTAGTAGGAAACATGCAACTTACATTGTTTTATTTGTAACAATGAGCATGTTATATATTTGAGCTTATAATGGGAAATCAATGAGACTCTATGATATGTCCCCCACTTTCTTTTTAGAGGGAGGAAAAGGTCAGGCCGATCCTCTTGTTTTCATGCATCTAAAATCCCTCCCCAACAGTCCCACTGTGGACTTCTATCTCTTTCTAAATTATATCAAGCAACAGAGACTTTTATTCCTCACTAGGGAACTGAAAGGTCAAAGGCTTCTTTTCTGGACCTAAAAATCTATTTTACTTAAATTTTAACCGACAGGGCTTAGGTATTTCATGAGAAATATAGATCAGCCTTTCTCAGGGATTGACTAATGAAAAACTCCACCAGAGAGCAGTAGACTAAAGTAGGAGTTGGTGCTTGGTGAAGGTAAAGGTTAGTCTTTTAGCACAAAGGAAGAGAAGCCAAAGGTGAACTTGAATCATAGATGTTAAAAACAATATTGCCAGAGAACCAGGGAATTGCTTATAATAATAATAGTGTTTAGAGGTACTTCTAAAAGCTTGGCACAAATTTGAATCACAAATCTGATAGCACCCAGAGGCCTAGATCTAGGACCAACACCTGGCCTCCAAGTTCCCCAGGAGTCCTGACATCAGCCACTGAGACCTAACCTCCTTTGGCATTATGTAGGCATGCGTTCATATTCTGCCTCTGCTGCCTGCCTGAAGCAGGTTTCCTGATCTCTGTCCATCCTGAACTCTTCTACACATTGCACTGACTAACAGGATTAGTCTCATACGGATGAAGGATTGGTAGCACATACAAACAAAGACCACAGGCACATGAAGGACAGCGACCACATGGATGGTGCTATTAAATCATTGCTGACTCAGCTGAGCACAGTCTAATGTCTCAGCACCTTCCCTAGCAGTCTCACTGTAGAATTCCATCTATCTCTGAATTACACCAAGTGGCAGAGGCTTTGATTCCTTGCTGGGGAACTAAAAGGTCAAAGGCGTCTTCTTTTATGGATTGAAAAATCTATTTTACTTAAATTTAAACTGCTGGGGCTTAGGTATTTCATAAAAGATAGAAATATGATGTCCCTTCTTGCATGTGGTTTCTATGGGTTTCCCCAACATACATACATCTAAATATAGTCATGTTTCTATCAAATGAAAATTTATGGTCTAAATAAGTATGTCAAGGATAAGTTTCTCTGAGTCTACTGCTCATGTCTTCACACAGCCTGGTTTTAACTTTTAACCTTTGTTATTTTTTGTCTCAGTCCAGAAAGAAAAAGGTATCCTAAAGCAGTGAAATTAAGTGTAACATAGGAACAATGTTCTCAATACTGAGATAAGGCATTTCAAGAGTTAATGCTCTCCCTGCCACAAGAAGCACTAGAAAAAGGATAAGTCTGGATGGACAAGTATTTTCGAAGAGTTTATCTGGGACCAACACCCAATTGACAGCCTCCTCCTAAGAACACAGGTACGATCTGTAGGTGTAGGAACGGCAGAAGGCACCTTTAAATGAAGATAATTTGAGAAGTCTTTATTCATAAAAGGACCACTGACAAAGGTCATAGGGGATAGCAATGATATAATATAGAGACAAAACAAAAACAAAAACAGAAAACAAAAAAATTAACAAAATCAAACCTGTTTCCCACGCAGGGGCCCAGAGAGACAAGCAGAGGAAGCTATGACTAGAACCCTAAGGAGAGAGTTGAAAATAAGCAAGATGGGCAGAGGTTTTTCTCTTGACAGGTCTGTTCAGTCCTAGATGAGCACACAGAGAGGAAACCACAGGCCAAACTACTTCCACCCGACTTTCCCCATCCTCTGACTTCTGATAGTGGCCCCCAATTAGCTGAATTTTACTAAAAGCTACAGGTGACAAAGTACCTCTTTGATGGAGTACTGCAGAGCACATTCCTGCAGTAGAAGGCATCACAGAGAAAAGAGCAGGGTGAATCTGCTGTTCGAATCTGGACCAGGAAGAGAATAGGTTTTATAATTCCCCATTTGGCCATAATTTGAAGATCAATGAAGCCTAAAGTGGAATTCTTCATTTATTTATTCTTGAAAATTGGCCGGAGGAAGGAATTGCACTCAAGAAAAGAAACACATTTTTGGTCATTATTGGTTTGGCCACAGGCAGGCTGTTGTGCCAGTAAAACTACTCCAGGTAGTCAGAGGAACAACAGGAAATCAAGCTTGGCTCAGCCTGGCCCTTTTTCACCATTATCAGGCAATCACCAGGCACAGTGAACACCAACAAAAGAAAAATGAACAGTTTTGTAGCTGATGACATTTCAAAATTTTATTCTTCATTCATTATCAAAAAGGAATGTGTTTAAAAATGTATATGTGACCTTCTTAATCATAAATTTGAAAGGATATATGGCAGATATTTAGCTTCTATCTAAGCTCACTCACATTGCCCCAGCAGGAAATAAAAGGAAATCTGATAAGAGAATTAACTCGAAAACTACAAATGAGCATGAATCAGAGGCTTTGATATTTCCTTGGGGACAGAACTTCCAGCCAATCTCATTCCATTTAGGGTAAATAATATATAGAGAGTTATCTTCAACACAAATCATTAGCTTCCAAAGGAGTAACAATATCCAAAAGAGGTCTCACTGCTTCTTGGAAAAATGACATTTTTATAAAAATGTTTGGGTAGAGCCAAACAGCTATATTTTAAAAAACAAACAAACAAAAAAAAAAAAAAAAAAGGAAAGAGAAACTGAGCTTCTGTATTAGCCAGGTTTACATAAAACATACCAGAGACAGCCTCTAGCAAGGGATGCATATTTGATATGTCCATGGCGAAGCAAACTGCTCAGGACAGGAGTCAGGAAACAAAATGATAGGCTGCAGTCTTAAAATTCTCTCCCTTGACTTAAAGACCTTCACTCAGCCTCACACTCCCATAGCACCTCACAGCAATGCACTCTGAGCCCTCGCTCTTTTTTTTTTTTTTTTTTTTTTTGAGCCCTCGCTCTTAACACACAATCCTTCCGGGGTGGAATGCGCCTCCTCCAAACCATAGCAGTACCTGGGTATGTGGCCCACTGCTGAGACATTCTGCCTGTTTGGGTGATAGGAATCCTGTGTGAGTATTTTGGTCATGGGAATCCTACAGAAATGTTTTTGCAATAGAAAACCACAGCCCCAAAGGTGGACATGCAAAAGCCACAGAAGAAAAGAAAACGCAAACTCATAGCTCGAGATCTACCTCTATCTTTATGGAATTAAAAATTTAAAAATTAGAAATAACCGTAGCAACAGGAAAAATTAATATTTCTTGACATTACCAAAGAATTTAACTTGTCTTTCCCTTTTTATGCTCCCCCCCCCCCCCCCCCGGAGAAAATCCAAATCTGAAAATATCCAAGACCTTCAAATTATGCTAGGCCTCAGCTTAGCCTCCTACCCACACCTCCTAGCAAACAGCACCTATCTCCCTCCCCCCCATCCCACATTGCTCAACACTCTCAGCCTGGACGTGTTCTTATTCTTTCCCACTGGGCATCTCTCTTCATCCTTCAAGTTGAAAGTCATGCCAATGTCAGAGCTTCTCTGAGGCTTCTTGCTGCTCCACTAACAGAACTATAAATTTTTCCTCTCGGGTTGACTCATTCTTTGAACAAATATTTGAGCACTTACATGTATCAGGCTCTGCTAAATGTAAGAAAGCACTGCCTTCATCACTTTGACCCTCTAAAAGCCCAGAGATAAATGACAGAGACAAGCATTATACAGGTAAGTAAGTGCAGAAATATGAAATTGCAGAGATGGAGAATGCCAAGAAGAAATATTTGGTGCTACGAGAGAGTTAATACTTGGTTTGAACTCTGGCAGGAGACCGGGGAAGGTTTCGATGCCATGTCAGCTAAGCACTCATCTACTCTTGTGACACTCACTCAACTCTCACCCACTCGAAAGCACCTCTTGGGAGAAGGGCTTTTGACTCCTTGCACTTCCTCCAATCTCTTGCCAAGCATCTGGCACAGAGCCCACCCATGCTCAATAAATTTGTTGCACAAATTTCTATTTGAAAGTCTATGATTTGAAGTGTAGAAAAGATTGTTATCCTGCTCTAAGTACAAATTATAACCACTTCAAAAGTAGATAAGTACAACCAAAGAAAAGGAAAGCCCCGCATGGTATCAGTTTGTGCTTGGGAATATTTTGGTTAGATAACTCAGCAAAATTAGTGGACTGTTTGTTTGGTTGCTTTTTTCTTTTTTTGTTAAGTCTAGATCCCACCGAGTGTTCCAAGTCACAGACCATTAAAAACAAAACAAAACAACACCTAAACATCATAAAATAGTCATATGATTCGTTGGGTGGCCCTCTCATTAATTAAGGCATGGATCCTCAGGGCCTTTAACACTCAAGTACTTGTGACTTTTCTGAACTTGCAAATATTTCTCTACTAGTTTTGTTATTCTTGTCAGTTGGGTCCCAGGATTTCACCAGCAGGGGGTACCAAAAGCTGAGGAAAAGAGAGCACATAAAAGCCTATGGAATCCTCTGCATGATGTTTGCAGAGGTGGACAATGATTTAAGATGGTAATCTGAACCAACTGCAGCAGCTCTCTATTTTGTTCACTTCTTCATCTCTTCCCTAAAATTATTTTCTTTTCCTTTGCTCATGAGTGTGTTGGACAAGCACTTACTTTAAACCTTTTTTTCTGCTAGACAGGATGTCCTGAGGAAAACAAAACAAAACAAAACAGTCATGAATCCTTTCCAGTTCAGGGGGTGAGGATCCCCCATCACTGAAAGAGT